TCAAGTGTATTTGGGATCATTTGACTGGTCTCTAGGGAAAGCATCTCCTGTGTGTACGGAGCCCATGGTGGCAAAAGGCTTTTCCTGGGGCTGGGAAGATGGCTCAGTAGAATTAGCGCTTGCCTGGCAAGCGCAAGGATCTGAGTTCAATCCTTGGTTCCGAAAAAAAAAAAAAAAAAAAAAAAAAAGACTTTTCCTATCCCTGTGGTCATTTGACAGAGTGATCATTACTACCCCCTACCTGCATAAAAGATACTCAGCTGTCCTAAGAAGATTCAGACTCCTCAGGATAACAGGGGTCTCAAGGGCAAATGCCCAGACAAGGGCTCAGGCTTCCGACTTGTGACTTCTACATCTGTCTCTAGTGTCGCAGGGCAGGGTGGGAGGAGGTAGGGTGAGAACAGAGCCAAAAAGAACAGCCTTTCTGCACCCACACAGCCTTTCCGAGCTTCCCGCGTGCCTTCTCAGCCTGAGGGAGGGGGTGGACAAGGAAGGAGGCAGAGCAGGGGATGCAAAGGTTGAGCCCCTCCTTGGCTGCAGTGGGAGGCACCTGGAAGCCCTTTGACCCAGTGCTCCTCCACGCAGCAGCCCTAGCTGCAGCCAGAGACCCCGTGCACTCCTGCCCGCGTTCCTTCCTGGTACCAAGGAGATTCGTGGTCTGAGCAGCTTGGGAGCAGAGGTCAGAGTGCAGCGTGCAGGCTGACCACTCGAGGACCCGCAGCTCAGAGGCCTCTGCTGGTCCCCTGCGCCGCCTCTGCACTGGGCGCTGGGGAGCTTTGCTCTTCAACACAAGCAGCCCAAATCCAGAGATCTCACATCCTCGCTTTCCGTCGTGAAAAGGTCTTCCCCTCTCTGGTTAATTTTACACTGGCCTATTTTCCTCTCCTCTCCTCATCTGACTCCAGGGGGCTCTAAAGAAGGAAAATACAGCTTGTCAGCATTCTGTCCTCCTGGCCCAGCAGAAGCTGCTGGGAGAGGCCCTGGAGTGTGTGTGTGAGTGTGTGTGTGTGTGTGTGTGTGTCCCTTGAAGACAGGCCTGGCCTCCTCCATCACAGGCAAGGACTGAGTGGAGGCAAGGACTGAGTGGAGCCCAGCACAGCTTCCACAAGAGATGACCCCAGCCCTGAGGCCCTCCTTATCCTGTCAGCAGATTCCAGAAGTGGGAGGTGCTGGTGGTATAAAGTCAGGTCACCTTCTTAGCTGGGCACTGTACAGAGCTGGCCAGGCCTTCAAGCGGGTGAGAAGCTTGCCATGCGCCTCACACACATGCCTGGGAGCAGAACAGAGGAGCCAGGCCAGAGCCACGCAGCCAGAGAGCTGGAGGCATGAGCCGGCTTCATAAGGGCTTTGCTTTGGCAGGGCACAAGGAAGGAGCCAATGGGGAAACTGAGGCTCTGAGAGGCAAAAGCCCCTGCCAAAGATTATACAGCAATAGCCTTGGCTTTCAATTTTTTTAAATAACATATTGTATTCCAAAAATCAATAGTTGGAAAGTTTTTTTTTTTTTTTTTTTTTTTTTTTTTTTGTGGAACCAGGGATTGAACTCAGGCCCTTGTGCATGCCAGGCAAGTGCTTATTCTACTGAGTCAACTCCCTGGCCCCGAAAAGTTGATTTTTCACTGGCTACCAGAGCCTGTGCAGAGGCTGAGAGAGACCCAGGAGTCCAGGGGATGTGGGAGCAGGGAGTTCAGTCATTCCCAAAGTGCTTATGGCAGCTGTGTTCTGTGAGCTCTGAAGGTTTCAGGGTATTATTTAGCCCTTAAAGGGTGAGCAGAATCCACAAGGACAAGATGGGAATAGGCAGTGCAGAAGGAGGGAACGAGCTGTGTGCAGACGCAGGGCACTTGTGAGGGCTCTTGAAGTGCTAGGAAGCTGGAACAGAGTGGGTGGCAGGTAGTGCTGACAGACAAGTGTACTCTGGCCAGATGTCCCAGGTGACAGACCTGTACTAGGCTTGGCTGCATTGAGGGCTAAGGGGAGCAGCTCTCCTCTGCATGCCTGATACCCTCCCAAGGCCAGCTCAGGCATGTTCCCATGGTAACAGCAGACGACTGGAAGACGGGCTGTGATGGGAAAGTCCACTTCAAGATGCTGGCATCTGTTGGCCAGAACAGGTGGCATCAATGGGCCCGTAGTCAAGAGTGGAGGGAGGGTCAGTCACTCCATTTACAGAGGGGAGGCAACAGGAAGAGCACAGGGCCATGACACTGGGGCCGTCAACACCATCCCCCACTGTCCTTTGCTACCTGGCCTTGGCCCAGCAGACTGGGTGGGTACAGAGCAAGCCTCCAGGACCCAGCTCCAACTCTGGATTTTTTCTAGAAAATTCCATAAGCTGACTCAGCCCTCCACCTAGGCTCTCACTGCCTGGTCCTCTGTGTGTGTGTGTGTGTGTGTGTGTGTGTGTGTGTGTGACAGCTAGAGAAAGGCTGTCTGCTTTTTTGTTGTCCCCATCCTGCTGGCCTATGGAGCTGTGGAAGTGACAGCAAGTATCAGGACCAGGCACATGAGGCATAAAGAGGACTTAAGGAAGGCTGGGACCAGCCCAGCAGTCGGTAAAGGTTTTCCTGAAAAAGCAGAGTGAGGATGGGGCCTGGAAGCTGAGTAGGATGGGGGTAGGCAAACTGTCTGGGCAGGAAGGAGGGCGCTGCGCCACACAGAGGGCACCATGTGGGCAAAGGCATAATGTGAGGATGGCTGGCTGGTGTGCCAAGCATAGCTGTGACTGTGTGTAGGTGAGCTCAGGTGGCATGCTGAGGGGACAGCAGCCAAGTCACCAAGCCTGGCATGCCTGCGGTCTAAGGGCTGGCACTGGTTAGAAGTTGGGGTGAAAGGTTAGACCTGCTTGGAGTCAGAGGTCTAAGAGGTCAGGGCTCAGTACAGGCTCAGGGTCCCTAACTTTACAGCACCTGCTGGATGCCAGGGCACGGCTGCTGGTCCCTCTGGAGCCCAGCCACCCAGCACAGCCTCCTCCCCACCCACTCCTCATCTGCAGCATCTTGACATGACAGATCACCAACACAGAACAGAGAGGGCTTGCAAAAGCCACCCAGGAAAGCCAGCTTCAGAGCAGCTTCCTAGCCTGTACTCCCTCAGCTTCAAAGCAGCTTCAGACACATCCCTGCCCTGGGAGCTTCAGGGCATCCTGGGGGCTGACTTGCTACTTCCCGCCGGGACACAGGGGCACCATCTTGCTGCCACCTGGGAGAGCCTGGAGCCCTCACCACTGAGCCTTAGCTTGGGGAGCATCTCACCCCTTCTCCAGGACTCACACCCAGGCCCAGGCTCCCACTGGCAGGAGACTCAGCACCTACAGTGCCCACCTGGCATGGAGCATGGGCTTCTCTTCCCTATTAGGGCCAAGGTCCTGGCCAAGCTTGAGTCTGGCTCAGGGTGCTGGTGCTCCTGAATATTTGAGTCTAGCCTTCGAGCAGCTGCTAAGAACAACAGGGCTCCCGTTGTTGTGGGCAAATTGAATCCTTTCCTCCACATCAAGTATCAAAAGCACCGATCAGGTGAAGTCTAGCCAGAAGGTCCATGGCAGGGATCTCAGTGCCAAGGGCTCAGGACAGAATTTCATGGGTGTAGAACAGGGTAGGATGCAGGGGCCAGAGTTCAATCCCTGGTTCCGCATGCCACGTCGGCCCCACCTCTGGGTGCGCTGAGCCGGCGATGGAGTCTGGGTGCAGTGGCACGCGCCTGTAATCCCAGCACTTGGGAGGCAGAAATCAGGAGGATCACTACTAATGTGGGCTATGTAGTGAGACCCTGAACAAAAAAATAAACCAAAAAACACCTTGGGGCCGGGGAGATGGCTCAGTGGAATAAGTGCTTCCCTGGCAAATGCAAGGGCCTGAGTTCAATCCTCGGTTCCGAAAAAAAAAAAAAA